CATGTAATAAAATGATCCTTCCTTTTCTTTACATTTCCAACATTTATTACTTGTTTTATACATTTTAGCTAATTTCGCTGGTGTAATATACTATCTATACATCATTTTCATCACATTCTCTTTTAAGGCATTGCATGCTATAAATTTTATTCCTTCTTTCCAGAGTTTTTCCCAACCTTTTAACTGTATGTTGTTCTGCAGACCCATTCCCACTCCACCAACTGCCAAGGCCCTGCCCAGAGTCCATTCTTGCATGACAATGACCTGGGATCATTTGTTTTAAAACCTTTCTAGTGCTTTACTCTGTTTTTCTTCAAAGCAGTTTATTTTAGGAAGTAAAGAAAATCCATAAAGCCAATAAAAACCACCCACTATTAAAACAATTATTAAAATCGAAAGAAGGTTCAATCCCTGATGGGCCGTTTCCAGAGAAGGCTAAGAAAGACTACCTAGGGAACCACTGCCAGTCATAGAGAGTTCTGATCTAGAGGAACTGGTGGCCTGGCCTGGGATAATAATGTCCAATGTTCCTCTTGTGGAAGAGGCTTCTTGAGCTCTTCTACAAGTAAACTCCAAGTTTACTCTCGCCTCTTCAGGGGATAGATATGGGACAATGGACACATCACAAAACTGGAGTCTTTCCTAGCCACACGCTGCCCGGCTTCCTCTCAGACAAATCCCAGCCCATTTCTGTGGGCTGCTTTGTGCACCTCTGCAGCCCCATTCCCTTTTTTAAAAAATATTTTTATTGATTTTTACAAATAATTTCCAAAAATCATATAACATACTTTCTTATCTTATACAATGTTTTGGACTTCCATCAACTGCATCTGAAGATTTTTCAGTCTTTATCACTTAATCTGCATTTCATTATTTTCAGTATTACATTTAATACTCCTTCACTAATAATTCTTAGCATAGTTTTCTCGGCAATATTTCGCATAAACCTCCTTACAAAACTTCTTGCAATCCTACTAGCGTAATCTGTTGATTACAGTTGCTTTTCAAATAGTTCATATATTTACTCTGATCCCGCAGGTTTCGAATCCTTCCTGTCATCTTATCCAATTCTGCATAGTCCATTAATTTTGTCTGCCATTCTTCATTTGTCAGTAGTTCTTCTTGTTTCCATTTCTGTGCTAACAATACTCTTGCTGCTGTTGTTGCATATAAAAACAGTTTATTGCCCTGTCTATTAATGTCCTCACTTACAATGCCAAGTAGAAATGCTTCTGGGTTTTTTTATAAATGTATATTCAACATCTTTTTCATCTCATTATATATCTTTTCCCAAAAGCTTTTCCCTTTCTGACATTCCCACCACATGTGATAAAATGATCCTTCCTTTTCTTTACATTTCCAACATTTATTACTTGTTTTATACATTTTACCTAATTTCACTGGTGTAATATACCATCTATACATCATTTTCTTCACATTCTCTTTTAAGGCATTGCATGCTATAAATTTTATTCCTTCTTTCCAGAGTTTTTCCCAACCTTTCAACGCTATGTTGTTCTGCAGACCCATTCCCACTCCACCAACTGCCGAGGCCCAGCCCAGAGTCCATTCTTCCATGACAATGACCTGGGATCATTTGTTTTAAAACCTTTCTAGTGCTTTACTCTGTTTTTCTTCAAAGCAGTTTATTTTAGGAAGTAAAGAAAATCCATAAAGCCCATAAAAACCACCCACTATTAAAACAATTATTAAAATCGAAAGAATGGTTCTGAAACCTCTCGTCTGGCTGGACTGGCTCAGCAGAAGCCCTGTGTGACACCAGGCCGGCAGCTCAGCAGATGCTTGTGCACAAAGCTCAGCTTTGAGATGCAGGCCTAGGTTGGGCTCCAGGGTACTGACACTTGAATCGTTTTTCTATGCCAGGAATATTCCAATATTTTCTTGCAGGCTGGCAGTGGGGAGAGAAGCAGCATCTTTCTGGCTCGACTCCCCTCCCCATTTCAAAAGACACATTCCTAGTGGTCCACTGCTCCTTTCTTTAAGTCTGCAATGCAGAGATGATGGATGCTGAATTGAGGTCTTTTTCATCATTTTTTGTTAAGTTGGCATTTGCACAACATTACCTTGCTGTGGCATCACAGTGCAGAGGGAGAAACAGGAGTGTGGAGGGAAAACAAAGTCTCGTGATGTCTACCAACATCTTCTGTAGAAATCAGAGAGGGAACTCTAGCGGCTGACATTCTAACATTGTGCATGCCAGCAATGCCCTTCAGCTCTCTATATTGGACAAACAGGCCAAACCCTACACCAAAGGATAAATGGACATAAATCTGACATCAGGAATCACAAGACAGAAAAGCCAGTAGGAGAACACTTCAATCTCCCAGGACATTCAATGCCGGATCTCAAAGCAGCTGTCTTATTACAAAAGAATTTCAGAAACAGACTTGAAAGAGAAGTTGATGAATTACAACTTATCACTAAACTGAAAACTATGGAGAGACCTGGTCTTAATAGAGATCTTGGATTCCTGTCTCATTACATATGCTAATCATCTCCATAATATCCCTTGCTTTTTCCTGTAGTACTAATTGCAGTCTTTAACATTCATCAACAGGTTTACCATACCCATTGAGTCAATCACCCATCTCCTACTACCCTCCTGAGAAAAACCCCATCCCACCCTCCCACTATATATATAAGGGTCTGGTGACTTCTGTTTCAGTGTATCTGAAGAAGTGTGCATACCTAGAACAAACTTAGTTGGTCTCTAAGGTGCTACTAGACAATTTTTTTAACATATTTCTACGCTTGATCTTAGCCAAAAGGCCGAGAAGCGATTTTTTAAAAACATATTTCTAGCAGCTGAATTAGCCACGGCCCAGTCTTTCTGAAAGTCACCCACACTCACCTGTGGAGTCCTTCCAGACTCAGCCTGCACGGCCAGCAGTAAGTAAAGGTGGGAGTTGGAGTCCATTCCTGTCAGCCCACCCCTCAACTTCCCCAGCCCTGCTTTACAGGTTCCTTCTTCAGAATCTGGAGTCTCCTGTGTTCAGCCACAACAGAAAAGAATAAAGGAAAGTCGCAGGAAAGGCCTGCTCTTCACCTGTGCTCTGATGGACACGTGGAACTCTTGTGTGGGAGTCTCCTTCCTCTGAAAAGTGAGGTTGGAAGGTTGCCTTTGGAGCTGAGAGAGGGAAAGAGAGCTTTTGCAGATGTGGGGCTGGTTCTCTGTGGGTCTGGAGAGCCTGCACCAGCAAGAGGTTGCTGGGATGAAAGTGGTTCTCCTTGAATAAGTGATACTTAACATTAATAAGTGTAATCCTAGCTAAGAATTTCTTTTTTAATTAAAGTGATGAAAAGAATGGCTTTGTTCTGACATTTATGCTCACAGCTTGCCTTTTTGCTTAATGTGATTAGTTAGTGTTGTGGTGCTTGGTGGCAGATAAAGTCTTGTTAATGTTATATCAGGATGCAAGTCACATTAATGCTGTAGAAATTAACAGGGATGAACAGAGGAAGTAAACAGTTCAGGAAAACCAGTTCAAGCTCCAGCAAATGAATTAGACGGTTGAATCTGGTTCTGAGACTACAGATCGATGAAACTATGAATTTGAGTTTCCAGTCTTCAGTTCACCACATTTTTGTATCAGCTTCCAATTCATTTTTTTAAGTTAGCATTTTTGGGTACATTTATGCTAATAGACACGTTTTATATGCAATTTTGCCTACCATAAATATTTCTACAAATTCCCGGAAGGCAATGCCTTTTTATGTTCCCAAATACATGTACACTTTTATGCATGCTTCCCTTTAAGATACACATTCTTTGGTTGGATAATTGCACGGCAAATTCTGCAGGGTAGCTGCCACTTGGCAGAGCACCATTTGGTTTTTTCAGGACGTGTAGCAGGGGGTGGGGGTTCACATTAAAATGCACACAAAACCAAATTTCTCCCCCATATTTGAATTGTGGCAAAATGGCCAAACGGAAAGAAAATGGTAAATGTCACTACTCTTCTTTTGATGGTATCTCTTCTTGCTTCCATCGTTGGGCTAATAGTATTCTCACTGCAGTTATAGCATAAAAAATAATGTCTTATCCTGCCTGTGTATTTCTCTACCTACAATTCCAAATAGGAAGGCTTCTGTTTTTTTGACAAATGTATATTTCAACATTTTTTAAAATTCATTATATATCATTTCCCTGAATGCCTTCACTTCCTTACATTCCCACCACATATGATAAAAAGTACCATCTTTTTCTTTACATTTCCAACATTGATTATTTGTTTTATACATTTTTGCTAATTTCACTGGCGTTATATACCATCTATACATCATTTTCATTACATTCTCTTTAAGTAAACTGCATGGTGTAAAGTTTATTCCAGCCTTCCATAATTTGCCCCAATCTTCTAACTGAATATTATGACCAATATATTTTGCCCAATGTATCATACTATTTGTTGTTGTTTTTTATAATATTTATTACTTTTACAACAATTTAAACACTACAATAAAAAAACAAAAAAACGCAATACAGTACAATACAAAAACACTACATAACACTAAAACATTAAACTAACAAGACAAAGCAGAAACAATTTAAAAACACATAAAAAAAGAAAAAAGAAAAAAAATCAATATCTTATCTTTCTTTCACATGTTTCAATGACCTCCTCACACCTCCCTTTTTGTATTCCACTTCTATTAATTATTTCAGCAATTCCTTTCCATCTTCCCCTGTTTTCTATCCTATAATTATCTTAACACAAACTAACCTTATTTTTTCCTTTAATGTTCTATTAATCTATTTATACTTAATTCCTTATAACCTTTCTACTAAAGCCATATAACTTCATTCCAACATTCTTCTAACATTCATTAATTTTACAATATTTCTGTAAATAGTCTTAAACTTTTTCCAGTGTATCATACTATTTGAAAGTCTTTCATTATTTTTTTCTTTACCTTGTTTATTGTTTTATCTTTTTTGTAAACCACTTTGAGTTTTGAGTTTTTTGTTTACAATCAAGTGGTGTATAAACTTTATGGAAGAAAACCCCCCAAAATTTCTGAAACATCTCTTTGCAGGGCCACAACTGCAGCCAATCCGAAGGACCAGTCATCCCCGCTCCGAAACAAAGTTCCTGCTCTACTCAAATACCATTGAAGAAGGCTGCCTGATCGAATTTAACCAGTTTGATACTCTTGAAAAATGCCGTTTCAATGCCTCTCTTCCTTTGGTGATGATAGTCCACGGATGGTCGGTAATGAACTTCACGGCACTTTTTCTTTGTTATCCAGGGATGTTGTTCAGCTGAACTTTGATATCTAGATCAGTGTTTCCCAACCTTGTGCCTCCAGCTGTTTTTGAACTACAACTCCCATCATCCCTGACTAGCAAGACCAGTGGCAAGGGATGATGGGAATTGTAGTCCAAAAACAGCTGGAGGCACAAGGTTGGGAAACACTGATCTAGATAAATCTGGCTTCATACAGGATCCCCCCCACTTCATTTTTTCTCAATGGTTGTTCATTGGCCTGATCTGTGGAGGAGGTGGTAGAGTCTTGACACAATGTTATGGACTATACCATCTAGAGGCGGCAGGTGGGCATTGCCATTTTTCAAACTCCCTACCAGAAAAGACAGGGGAGTGGGCGGGAGTGGACATAACAAAGGGGCATTCAAACCTACCCTGCACTGGCACAGCCCCTTCTCCCATTTCAGGATTTTACCACCTCCCAGCGGTGGATCATGTCTTCCCAGCACCTGGTGCAGGCATACCTGGGGCGCCCTAGGGAGGCGGGGCGTGGAGGGCAATGTGAGGAGGCTGCAGCTAGACAGGCATGCACCCTTCCAATCAGCCTGATCACATGCCTGTTGCATCCTTCTGATGCCCTGCCAGCCCCACGTTTCTTTGCAAGACTGGAATGTGGGATCAGACTCACAAACCAGCATGGGGCTGGAAAGGGCAGTGTGGGGAGCAAAAAGCACCCTGGAAAAAAGTGTGTCTGCGGCACTGGCCCCCTCACCCTGCCCACGCTACACCTCTGCCACCTCCTTTTGCTCAACCTCTTGCTACGCCAAGGATGCCTAATGCAAGTGTTTTGAATGACTCCAGACCATTTGCAGACACGGGTATATTTAGCCTGGAGAGCAGAAGGCTGAGAAGAGATGTAATAGTCATCTTCAAATATCTGAAGGGCTGACACATGGAAGATGGAGCAAGCTTTCTTTATGCTGCTCCAAGGGGGCAGGACCCAAACCACTGGATTCAAATTACAAGAAATGAGATTCTGACTAAACATTGGGAAGAACTCATTAGCGCTCACCCAAAGTTTGTGCTCCTTTGGAAAATTGAAGATGTAGCGGAGACTGTCATAGTTTTAAGAAATATTATTTATTCACATATTTACACCTTCAGTCTGCTTGGAGGAATTCCAGAACTTACAGCATGGCCATTCCAAGAGGGACTTGTTCCCCACAGTAGTGCAGCACTGGAGTGCAAGGCATCTCTCCCAGCCAGCCTTCAGCCAACCTACCCAAGATGGATCTCTCCCTTTGTTCTTCTTCCCAGCACACCTTGCTAAAGACTGTCACTTCCTGTCACTTCACACCCAATTAACCTAGCAACCTTCTTTATGCCCAGGCCCAGGTTTCCTTTTGGATGGGCCATCAGCAACTTTTGTCATGTTAACACCTCTATCCCAGGTGAGGCCCTGGCTTGGAAAGGTAGCTTAGCCTGTATTTTTCCACCGGCCTGCAGTCTTCCTTTCAATACTCCAAATAATTGAAATCCTACCATTTATTAATTTATAGGGTTTGGGGGGGGGGTCCCAGGCTGCCCCTTCAAGCCTATAACAATATATTATATTCACTCACCCCAAAAGGATGAGGAGAATCTATTTAGTCATGGTCTTAACCATAAATCTTTTAAAAACAACAACATGCTATTACTTTCAGTTGGCCTCACATGCAGAACTATACTACTTTCCACTGAAATAAGGGTGTGTGAGAGTAAATATGAGCATGTCACCATGCAGATGTCAAAAATATAAAACTTCTGTCCTGGGAATTGTTCATGCTACTGCAGATGGGCAAAACTGGAGCCCCAAATCAAGGATGTGACAGGCTGTCTTTGGCCATTAGGAAGCAATCACCCAAGGCACACCGTTGGGGTTTGCAAGGAGTTGGTGGCCTGGCTGTCAGCTGGCTGTGAGCAATTCTCCAGGCCTGCCCTTGCTTGGGCTTATCAAGGAGGGGGTCTCTTTCCCAAGTCCTCCCTCCAAGCTACTAATCAGTCACATGCAGGCACCAAACGAGTTATCGGGCTTCATTGGTTTCTTCTCTGGCTCCAGCTACAGAACATCAACCTGCAAGTCTAATACATGGCGTGTTCTCCTCTCCTCCGGCAGGTTAACTCAGAGATTTATAGGGGCTGGGGAATTCTGGCAACCAGCCAATCCCATCACATGCTCCAACTTTGGGGACTAATTGTTACCACCTGCTTGAGGGGCTCCACCCAGTGGTACTTGCTCACAAGCTCACTACTTCATGACAGGGCATCATGAATTTTACAGACTTGGTTTTCTCCCATGACTGCAGGTGGATGGAAGGCTAGAAGGCTGGATTTGGAAGCTGGCCGAAGCCCTGAAATCCCAGCTGACACAAACAAATGTGATCATCACTGATTGGCTGGCCCTTGCTCATGCGCACTACCCCATTGCAGTGCAGAACACCCGAGACGTTGGCCAAGAAATCGCTCGATTCCTGGAATGGCTGGAGGTAAGCATACTCAGAGAGAGGAGACAGTATGAAGTGTGTGTTTCATGCCTCTTCCCTACCACCCCAGCTCCTCCAACTTAAAATTTGTAAATGTGTCTTGTGCCGGCCACTTATAGCTATGGGCTGGTGTAGAGGTGGGGGACCACTGTCCCAGCACCAACCCTGCAGAGCAGACCACTGGCAACAGATCCTCTGCCTTGCTGCTACTGCCTTTGTTGGTCTGGTCTACGCAGGAGGTGGTAAAGTCCTGATGTGATGGTATAGATCAGGCTTCCTCAACCTCAGCCCTCCAGATGTTTTGAGACTACAATTCCCATCATCCCTGACCACTGGTCCTGCTAGCTAGGGATCATGGGAGTTGTAGGCCAAAAACATCTGGAGGGCCGAGGTTGAGGAAGCCTGGTGTAGACTCTACCACCTTGAGGCAGCAGATGGGCAATGCCATTTTTCAAAAACTCTGCCTGAGAAAAAAATGAGCATGACAGGGAGAAGGAAGAAGAAGAAGAAGAAGAAGAAGAAGAAGAAGAAGAAGAAGAAGAAGAAGAAGAGGAGGAGGAGTTTGGACTTAATATCCCGCCTTTCACTCCCCTTAAGGAGTCTCAGAGCAGCTAACAATCTCCTTTCCCTTCCACCCCCCCCCCACCTCTGTGAGGTGAGTGAGGCTGAGAGACTTCAGAGATGTGTGACTAGCCCAAGATCACCCAGCAGCTGCATGTGGAGGAGCGGGGAAGCGAACCCAGTTCACCAGATTATGAGTCCACTGCTCTTAACCACTACACCATGCTGGCTCCTATTTCAGTCCTCACTTGGCTGTGCTAATTTTCTACATGCTCTCTTCTCAGGCTCTCTTCTCAGGGCTCATCTGCACTCCTGCTTGTCCCACCAACTTCCCCTGGGAAATTTACCACAGAATTGGAGCAAATGTCAACCAGGTTTTCTACAGATTCACATTTGCTCCGATGCCATGGTAAAAAGCGGGTATCCCTAGCGAAAGCAGGGGGGCAAATGGAAAATTGTTTGGATCCAGGTTTCCTAAGCACAGGACAAGCAGAAGTGTGGACGAGGCCTCAAAGGTTGCACTAGGCCTGGGTTTTCCTACTAATCACAGCTGCAACCATACGGTCTTCTGAAGATACTGCAAAGAGAGCATTAGCCTAGAAGGGGGAGTGATCCTCTCCATTGTGGTGGCAGAATTTAAACAAGGACGTAAAGTGTATTCAGTGTTGATTAGGGAGAGTGGTGCCCCGGGCCAGTTTTGACCCCACAGGCTTGTATTCATATCAGCTCTCTATAGCCTGTCATTCTGTCAAGTCAGGTGCAGTGGAGGCGTCTTACATTTCGGACAAGGATGCGGCACTTGCAATGTGCCAGTGTCTCAAGGGAAGGTAGAGCATTGCTTGAAGCAAAGGGTGAAATGAACAAGCATGACAATTTTCACGTCTGCAAAGCAATCCCTTTTATTTATCATTTATTTGTTTGTCATTAGTTTCATAAAATTTATATACCACTTGATTGTAAACAAAACCAACCCAACTCAAAGCAGTTTACAAAAAGAATAAAATAATAAAATAATAAGTGACAAAAAACAACTATTTAAAACATTTAACAAAATAATTGAAGTCAACCATAAACTAAAAACAGATTTAAAAACATATCAACATTCTGCATATCTGGGTCTAAAGAAATACATTTTTAAACACAGTTTTTCTGCCATGGTAATAAGGAACACAGTTCCTGCATTATTTGAAAAGTAAAACAAGCAACTCCCTGTGATTTCTGCCCTACAGAGTGGGATTAAGCCAGCAGCAGGTGAGGCACTGCTAACTTGTGGAATTAACTGATACATGATGTGGTGATGATGGTGACCACTAGCTTATAGAGCTTTCAAGAAGGACAAGTTATATTCCTGGTCCACCAGGAGCTATAAGGCATGAGAGCTAAATCAAGACTCTACTTACAGAGACTGCCTGCCTCTGAATATCAGCTGTTTGAGAGCAAGAGCTGGAGTGTGTGTGCGCCTGACTTCAAACTCCATTTGTGGGTTTCCCAGGTGGCTCTGGCCACAGTGGGATGTGAGATGCTAGACTACGTGGCTCAGCAGACTGATCAAGCAGGGCTTTTCTTGAGTGCAGCCTCTCTCTGAATCTCACAAGTTCAAATTAATTCTGAATGTGGTCCCAAAACCGTAGGAACAGCTTCCTAGACCAGAGTGGGTGCATGATAAGGTAAATTGGGGGAGTTGGGGCAACATTCCGCCTGCAAGGGAGCCAGATGGATTCGGGCCACGGGGTACAATCCAGTTTGACATGCTGACTGGAGCAGACTTGCCCAACTTGGAGCTCTCCACCTGGTGTTGAAGTCCAGTAAGTCCCATCAGCCACAGGCAGCAGGACCAATGGGTAAATCAGCAACATCTGGAGGACAGCAGGTTGGGAAGGCTAAATGAGAGTGTCACATGCAGACTGGGGAGACCCAGGTTCAAATCATATTGCAAGTTGCATATTATAAGTCATATTGTGAAAAAGTAAATGCAACTACCTCAGTCAGTAGAGCAGGAGACTCTTAAACTCAGGGTCGTGGGTTTGAGCATTGGGTAAAAGATTCCTGCAATGGACAAGATGACCCTCATGGTCCCTTTCCAGTTCTATGATTCTAAGTGCAATTAACCATCGTCATCATCCCCACTCAGCCATGAAGCACCCTGTGTGACCCTGAGCCAGTCGCTCACACCTGCCTTCTAGGGTCATTGTGAGGATCAAATAGCCTTGGAGGAACAGTTGAGATTCTAGAATCCAAGTGGGAGGTTCTCCTGGGCAAACCCCATTGAAATGAATGGGAGCAATGCAAGAGCACAACTGTACTGTTCCAATGGGGCTTGCACAAGAGAACTTCCCACCAAGTTGTGCCTCATGCTCATTAGTGGGAGGGACTGAGGTCAGTTGGATTCCCATCTCGGGCACCCAAATGTCTCGCGCCAGCCCCAGTTTGAGCCTGCAACAACAATGCATGCCCCACACTTTGCCTGCACTTACATGGCTGCCGGGTATCTTCCAGGAATCTGTCCAGTTCTCCAGAGGCAATGCTCACCTGATTGGGTACAGCCTTGGCGCTCACGTCTCTGGCTTTGCCGGCAGCTACATTAGGGGTGCAAGGAAGATTGGCAGAATTACAGGTAAGAAGAAAAACCCCGCAAAGCATCCCTTGGGGGAAGGGCCGTTGTAGCTCAGCAGTAGAACAGCTGCTTTGTGTGCAGAAGGCCCTGGGTACAATCCCTGACAGCGTTTCCAGGTGAGAGAACCCTGCCCAGAATCCTGGAGGGCTGCTGCCAGTCCGTGTAGACACAGCTGAGCTAGATAGACCAGTGGTCTGACTCCATATAAGGCAGCTCCCTGTCTTAAACCCCTCAGTCAAAACCGAGGTGGATAACTTTTTCCAGGCTGCATTCTCTTCTGGGGATGGGGTGAGGGGACATCCCTGTACCCCGCTCAGTAGAAAAAGTGAGTAATGAATATAGTTTACAGTGGTGCCCCGCAAGACGAATGCCTCGCAAGACGGAAAACTCGCTAGACGAAAGAGTTTTCCGTTTTGGAGGTGCTTCGCAAAATGAATTTCCTATGGGCTTTCTTCGCAAGAGGACAATGTCTTGCGAGTTCCTGCTGGTTTTTTTCCCTCCCCCCCCCTTTTTCTAAGCCGCTAAGCCGCTTATCAGCTGATCCGATCAGCACATAAGCCGCTAAAAGCTGCTAATAGCGCTAATCCGCTAATCCTTCAATGGGCTTGCTTCGCAAGACGAAAAAACCGCTAGACAAAGAGAATCACAGAACGGATTCTTTTCATCTTTCGAGGCACCACTGTAGTTTTATACAGTAGGATAATTTCTACACACCTATATGCAAAATCAATTATCAGCTAATAATATTAATTAGGTTTTCTGCCATACGCTTCCTATTTTAAAGGCATAGTTTACATGTTTGGGAACAAAAATCATTTTGCTTGATTCAACAGTGCCTGTGAATCAGAATCAGAATAATCTTTATTTGCGTCAGCCACCAGCCATAGCAATAAAATAAGATACAATGTACAGAAGATAAAGGTAAAAACTTAACTACTGTATATAAAATACATTTAGATCAATAATCAAATGACAGATCTTATTCTAGTTGCCCCCGCTAAAAACTTTTCAGTTTTTGCTGTCTCCAGTTACCGTAATTCTGAACTGCCAAAAGAAAGGACACTGCAGCAATGGACAATAGCAGAGGGGTGATAACCTCACTCTTCAGTGCCTGTGGTGTTGGTCCTGGGCTGAGCAGGATAATCTTTCTAGAAAGCATCTCTGTAGCATTTGCTCATATTTGGCAGCTGCAAGAAAACCTCAGTTGCCTTGCCTTCTGATGTGCATTTGTTGAAGTTGCTCCTATTGTGTGTGGTCACATTAATGAGAGCTCTCATGACGCTCATTGTAGGGTCTGGCAAAATTCCCGTAGATTTCATGGGACTGAGAAATAGGGGCCTTCAAGTGAGTAAGCCACATGCAAACAGTGCTTGCATCAAAGGTGAAAAAGTGCTGCGTTCTATCTTGGGCCTGGTGTGTAAAAAGGGTCCAAGCCCAACAGGATTCCAGTCATGGACTGTGAAGCAGGCCCCACCATTTCTGCAATTAAATCATCATATTCCAAATGCTTCCAGGAAGGCTAGAACAGTGCAGCATTCCTGCTTAGGAGGAATCAGTGCAAAGGAGACCTCTTGCAAAAGGAATGCTGCCTTGAATAGCTTCATTCATAGCAACCTATCTCCACATCTTGCATGGCTACCTACCCCCTTCTTTGAACCCAGTTACACAATAGGCTGCTGTGTGTTTTCTGTGTCAAAGAGACGCCTTCCAAAAACATGAGGAGGAGCAACAATGAAAGGTTGAGGGGATGGAAAAGACAGAGCAAAAGTAGGGGACGGTCTGGTTACTCCCCTGTCCCTGCTCCACCCGCTTGATTTTGGTAAGCCAAGAGCCAGCGCTGCTCCCAGGCCAGAAGTGGTGGTGCTTTGTTCTAAAGGTGAGGCAGAAGCAAAACTTGAGGAGGGTCTTCAGCAGAGGAACTTTTGCTCAGCTCCCATGAACATCATTTCCAGGCTGAGGCTTGGAAAGATGGAGCCATTTGAGATTTTCCACCTTGGAGAAATCAAGGGCTAACATTGCTCTCCTCCCCACACTTTTACTGAAACTTTGCAGAATCCCACACCACCTTTGCCCTGTTCCCTAAGTGTTATCATTAGAATAATTATTATTTATTGCCTGCCTTTCACCCCAAGATCCCAGGGCGTGCTACAACATTAAAGCACAATGTTCAAAACAGTTTATAACAACTTGCAATTACAAAAATGTGGTGTGATTTCTGCAGGCAAAGCACACGCTCTATCACTGAGCTATGACCCACCACCTCCATTCCCCCTCCCCTCCCCCTCTTGGAGGCATTGAACTTTACATCATGTAAAGGCACAGTCTGGGTATGGTGCCCTCATCACAAGCCCTGGTTTGCATTTCCTACAGGCCTTGACCCGGCTGGCCCTCTCTTTGAAGGCATGTCCCCAACAGACCGCTTATCACCAGATGATGCAGACTTTGTCGATGCCATCCACACCTTCACCCAGCAGCAAATGGGCCTCAGCGTTGGCATCAAGCAGCCTGTTGCTCACTTTGACTTCTACCCCAATGGAGGGACTTTTCAGCCTGGATGCCACATCATGCATGTCTATAATCACATCGTGCAGTATGGAATTACAGGTAAGGAACATAACAAATGTAAGAAGCGCCCGGCTGGATCGAGTTCATGGCACATCTCCCTCAGCATCCTGTTCTCACAGAGGCCAACCAGGAAGAGAGAAGGAGGTGTAGTAACGGTGGGGCTCTGCGGGGTGAGGCCCACAAGTGTGCCTGCCATCCCACACTTTCAGCACTCCTCCTCCCCACCCCTGTTGCATCCCATACACACCTTTAGGCAAAATCTTCTCCCACAGGATCTGTGCATATGATATTTCCACAGCTTTGAAGGAGATTATTGTTATAGTCTGGTGCAGTAAAACCAACCATGAGTCTTGTGGCCCCTTAAAGGGAACCAGGCAGAGGGCCTTCTCGGTGGTGGCGCCCGCCCTGTGGAACGCCCTCCCTTCAGATGTGAAGGAAATAAGCAGCTATCTTCTTTTTAAAAGACATCTGAAGGCAGGCCTGTTCAGGGAAGGTTTTAATATTTAATGCTGTACTGTTTTTAACACTTGATTGGGAGCCACCCAGAGTGGCTGGGGAAACTCAGCCAGATGGGTGGGGTATCAATATATTATTATTATTATTATTATTATTATTATTATTATTATTATATTAAAGGCTGACAGTTTTAATGTCGCTGACACTGTTGAGGAACAGAGCCCCCTTCATGCAAAATGTGCGAAAGAGCCCCCCCCTCTCTTGAGTGAAATGGATTGAATTCCAAAGTTTATTGGCGGATGTGCTTGGAAGCAAGAGAACAGGATGGGTTGTCCTTAGTGCTTCTAAGCATCAGCTGAAAGAGCTTAAGGATCCCCATAGTGGCAATGTCCCAGTAGCACTCCTGTCCCCAATTCCTATTGCCTGCTGTTCCCCTCACTCAGTCTTGTATGTCTTGTGGCCCACAAACAGAACACAAGCCTGCCAACCAGCTGCCCCCCACCTTCCTGGATTCTTCTGCCTCTGCCATTAGAGCCTGGCATTTCCCAAGATGCAAAGAGAGGGAGAGGACTGCACTTCTGGCTGCTGCCCCTGTTGCTTGGCATGAGAGAGCCTCTGCCTTGCTGCTGCCCTTCCCAAGCAGATGGGGTCTCAGGGAAGGTCTCCCTGTGGGCAAAAGTTCTGAAGTTCCTCAAGTAGCCCTTCCTCTTCATCAGTGCCAGATTTAGGGTGGTGCAGGTGGTTCCCAGAGGGGGTGCAAATTTGAGACAATCCATAATTGAGAGGATCCATTTGGGAATGCCAAATTTTGGCTTCCCACAGGGCGCCATATCATAAAAGATTGCTGAAATCGGGTCCTGTCTTCATCTTCCTTGCAGTCTGTCTCCTGGCTCTTCTGGCGGAATGATTCAAGAGTAGCAGCGGGTGGTTTATTCTTGAATTCATCCCTGGGATGTAGATAGCTGGCTCTGTCCTTCAGATTGGTGCTGGTAGGAGGGGGCTTGTCAGAAGAGGGACATGGCAGCAGAGTGCTGGGGGAGAAGAGACCAGGTTGGGAGCTCTTTCCATTCCCTGTGAACAAGAGATCGCGGAAGCGCTTGGTCCTGCTGCCCTGTTTTTGTGCAGGTCTGGCTCAGACCGTGAAGTGTGCGCACGAAAGGTCCGTCCACCTCTTCATCGACTCCCTGTGGCACAACAACCAGCATATCAAGGGCTACTGGTGCAAAGACATGCAGACCTTTGACAAGGGCCGGTGCCTCAGCTGCAGGGCAAAGAGGTGCAACATCCTGGGCTACCATATTCGGAAGGAGAGGGTCCCTGGCAGCCGGCAGCTGTTCCTGAAGACACGAGCCCAGGTGCCTTTCAAAGGTTGGTGTGAGCAGATGAGGAGGGAGCAAGCGATTGCAGCCATGTCTCCTGGGAAGCCAGGCAGGCAACGTCTATCTGTGCTTACACAACATATGGGTTTAGGTGTGTCTCTGAGTGAGCATCATAGGCGTAGCCAGGATTTGGGGGGGGGCTTTTGTTGTGGGGGCAGAACCTCAGTTAGCTAGCTTTGTATTTTTATTGATTTAGGGGGAGCAGCTGCCCCTCCCCAACCCCCCCCCCATTGGCTACACCCATGGTGAGGGTGGAACTATAGTTTGGCAGCCCTGATATGAAGAACCACCCCTTCCTTGGCCTCTGGCTGGAGACAGACTTGCCAGGTGTGCAGTAAGGAAAGAGGCAGGGGTGGGGACAGGTTGAGAAAAACGCAGGGAGGATTGTCAGATCTGCAGGCTTCCATTACTCAGTGGTTCTGATGAATTTGACGAAAAACAGGCCATGCCAGTGTATTTGCCCAGAGAGGGCCACAAATGACAACCTCCTTTGATGGCACTCCAGATTTTATTTGGAATTTGTCCGCAAACAGTCACTCACACTGGCATTGTTTTTAAAGTGCAAATAGGCAGCTGGAGAGTTTGGGCATTTTCAAAGTGAGATTGTGGCTTATTGTGGGAGATTAGCAGCAAAAGCTAACAAATGCATAACCTTGCTAGTTAGTATGAGAAGGGGATAAGTCCACAGAGCTATATTGCTGATAGGTGGGCCATAGAAATACAGTTGGTTGAGAGGGCTCTGGGTGAAGTCATTTCCCCTCCTCTCCTGGAGAGGAAGGAACATATCGTGCTCCCTGTTCCTTACTCCCTTTGACTAGCATGCAGACATGCTTCTGTTTGCTCCAGCTTCAAGCAGATGCCTGAAGCTGGTTATACTGTAAATATAAAAGACTTTGCCGGGATAGTTTTGACTGCTACTGTTGCTGTGACCCAACACATGATCATAAAGTAAGTAAATATAATTTTTAAACTTACTTTACAAGTTGCTGCTTGGTTCTTAGTTAAGTGGGGTAAGGAAGGGAGAGCCAGCTTACTTCATAGCTGGACCTGTCCAAAAGAAGGCTTTATAGCCTAATTCCTGTGCTTTTAATTTTGCTGTCAAAGATGGGATTTTGAAACTGTTCAACCCACACATGTGGGTGCCTGGGGAGATAAATTGCAATTAATATATCCTCTCCTACCCATTAAAACCAATCCCACACTTATTGTCTCTCCCATGGGTGGGGGGGGGAGGTAGGGTGTTTTCTCCCCCCCCCCCCGCCCTCCTGCCTCTAACTGCTCGACTGCCTTCCAAACTGAGGCTTACATAACTCTGTGACTCCCAAACAGAACACAGCCTACTAGTCACTTGAGTCTTTTCTTCAATAACATTGTTGGTTATAAGACAAATTATATCCAACATTTTACTCAAAGTACTTGCAAAGGGGGACAACAACATATAGTTGTCCAATCCAGAATAAAAGCAGGTAAGTATTTAAATTACTTTTTTGAAAAACAGACTACTAATTGCCAATGAACATTATTTTCAATAACAACCTCGTACTAAAGAGACGGAGTGGAGTCAACCCGTCCCAAACGGTAATTCTAAATTCTGAACTATGAAAGGCTTGACTTCGTTACAGAAGACGCTCAGCAGCCAGGCTTGCGTTTTCACCCAAAAGAGCACTTCCACCATCGCTGTGCCCCTGCTGAAGATAAGGAGAGCCTGATGGATCAGGCCAGTATCCCATCTAGTCCAGCATCTTCTCCTCACAGGGGCCACCCAGATGTTTGTGGGAAACCAGCAAGCAAGACCTGAGCGCAGGAGTCACTCCCCCCCTCCTGTGGTTTCCAGCTGTTGTTGTTTAGTCTTTTAGTCGTGTCCGACTCTTCGTGACCCCATGGACCAGAGCACGCCAGACACTCCTGTCTTCCACTGCCTCCCGCAGTTTGGTCAAACTCATGCTGGCAGCTTTGAGAACACTGTCCCAGCATCTCGTCCTTTGTCGTCCCCTTCTCCTTGGGCCCTCCATCTTTCCCAACATCAGGGTCTTTTCCAGGGAGTCTTCTCTTCTCATGAAGTGGCCAAAGTATTGGAGCCTCAGCTTCACGATCTGTCCTTCCAGTGAGCACTCAGGGCTGATTTCCTTCAGAATGGAGAGGTTTGATCTTCTTGCAGTCCATGGGACTCTCCAGAGTCTCCTCCAGCATCATAATTCAAAAGCATCAATTCTTCGGCGATCAGCCTTCTTTATGGTCCAGCTACTGGCATTCAAAAGCAATTGCTTCCTCTGACTGGAGGCAAAGCATAACCATCATGGCTAGTAGCCATCAATAACCATAAATTTGTCTAATTTAAAGCCATCCAAGTTGGTGGCCGTTGATGTTTCCCATGGGAGTGAGCTCCACACTTTAACTCTGCACTGCATGAAGAAGTACTTCCACTGAAAAGTCCCTCCTGCCTGGTGTCAGGACCCAGCTAGGGTGAACTGAGCAAAGGAGGAGACACAAAGCAATGCTCAATCCGCAGATCTGAAAGGTCAGAGAGGAGCATGAGCGAGGTGGACATTCCTGGGCTTGCAACAATGGCACCAGAAATAATTTCTGGTTCTAATCAATCATGCTAGTTTGCATTTACAGTGGTACCTCAGGTTACATACGCTTCAGGTTACAGAAATAGTACCTCAGGTTAACAATTTTGCTTCAGGATGAGAACAGAAATCATGCAGCAGTGGCGCAGCAGCAGCGGGAGGCCCCATTAACTAAAGTGGTGCTTCAGGTTAAGAACAGTTTCAGGTTAAGAACAGACCTCCAGAACGAATTAAGTTCTTAACCCAAGGTACCACTGTACATGGCATTTCAGACTGTTCCAAGTGTTCCTAAACATCATCATCATTTGATTTTATATACCGCCCTGTATCCAGGGGTCTCAAGATATAAAACCACAAAATCAAAGAGATAAAATCAAGATCTAAAACCACAAAATACCTAATAAAAATAAAAACAACAACCCTATAGGCCCCCCCCCCCGTGAAAAACACATTTTAAAAGGGCATAGGATGTAAATCGGATCAACCAAAGGCCTGGTTAAAAAGGAATGTTTTTGCCTGGCGCTTAAAGGTGTATAATGAAGGCTCCAGGCAAACCTCCCTGGGGAGAGCATTCCACAGCAGGGAGCCACTGCAGAGAAGGCCGATTCTCGTGTTGCCACCCTCCGGACCTCTTGAGGAGGTGGCACATGAAGAAGGGCCCCCAAAGATAATCTCAGGGTCCAGGTAGGTTCATATAGAAAGAGGCAGTCCTTGAGGTATTGCCGTCCTGAGCCATTTTAAGGCTTTATAGCCAGCACTTTGAATTGGGCTCGGAAACTAATTGGTAGCCAGTGCAGTCAGACCAGGATCGGTGTAATACTCTCAAACCATCTTGCTCCAGTGAGCAACCTGGCTGTTGAATTCTGCACCAGCTGAATTCTGCCATCTTCAGAGGCAGCCCTACGTATAACACATTGCAGTAATCTAACATTGAAGTTACCAGAGCATAGACAACAGTTGTTAGGCTATCCCTGTCCAGATAGGGGCGTAGCTGGGCCACCAGCCGAAGCTGATGGAAGGCACTCTGAGCCACTGAGGCAACCTGAGCCTCAAGTGACAGCAAAGGATCCAGGAGTACCCCCAAGCTATGAACCTGCTCCTTCAGAGGAAGTGTAACCCCATCAAGAGCAGGCGATCTCTCAGCCATCTGGTCTTGTGAACCACCCACTAACAGTGCCTCAGTTTTATCTGATTGAGCTTCAGTTTCTTGGATCTCATCCAGTCCATTACCGAGGCAAGACACTGGTCCAGCACTTCCACTTCCTCACCTGCAGATGTAAAGGAGAAATTATCTTGGTCATCCTTGCATCATCCATGTAAGGTGGGTCAAAATTATTATCCCCAGGTTGCACCCTGAAGTTAAAAGCTAGCAAGTTGCCAAAGGTTTCCTGAACTAATGAACGAAAGACGTGACATTCAAATGCAGTGTGACTTCATGACTCACAGCTCAGACCTGGCCGGGGAGGGAGTGGTGGAAGCGAGACCCTCCCAAGGCCCAGCCCTGCTCTTCCCCCACTCAGCATCCACCCCTGAGATCTGCTTGCTGTGGCTGGGGCTGCCGCCATTGAAATAAGACATTTTGAGAATGTCAAGTTATCCGAAAGGTCAAGGCATGGAACAAGAGCAGCCTTTCATCGTAGGCAACGGAGAATAACAGTGCAGCTATTATTCCTGGGCCTGTCAAATGATCTGGTATGACTTTCCTCAAAGCGCTGCAGCGATCATGTGAGAATGCCAGATAGGAACAACAAAACCACACGCCAGAACATGGGTGCATTTTGCAAATGATTAAAGCAATCAGGGATTCAAGGCTGAATCCAATGAGGAGTTCCCCTTGCCCTGGAAACAAGAGCATCACGGTCAATGCTGGCTTCCGGGTTTCGTTGGGGGGGGGGAATCTTTGGAAAAGACATTCTGAATGTCCCCCTTTTCTCAGTGAGTTTACCCACTTGCTACCATTGTTGCTGGCTACTGCAGTTGCTCCTCTGCCCCATCTTTGTTACTGCCTGTGTCTTCAAACCAGCCAGTGCCATTGAAGGCCAACATGGTGGTGGCTTGTGTGCCAGAGTGTGACACAAGACAGCCAGCCAGTTGCAACAGTAGTGAGGGGGAACCAGTACATGGAGGGGTCATGAATGGGTGCCCTGCTGGGCTGTTGCTCCTAAGCAGGTGCCCTGCCATGTTGACCCTTAAAGGATGACCCTTTAGGATGACAGATGGCATAATCTATAGTCTTACAACATCTGAAGGGCAACACGTTGTGGAAAGTTGCATTAGATGAAGCAAACAAACTGAATTATTATATGGGAGAACCACTGCATTTCATTTTATATCATTTTATGGATCTGAATTTTGAGATAAGGATTCAAACACCATGTTGCATTTGCAATGGGACAGGGGTGGGCAATCTTTGTGGCCCAGCAGGCCAGATTTCATCTCCTCCCACACACCATAGGCCAACTATGACAGGTGGGTGGCCCCAGCCCCAGCTGCTAAGCATCTGACATCATGATGACATCAGGCAACTGATAGTTCGGCAGTCCTACCCACTGGTCAAAGTTGGTCTGAAGGGTGAGAGGAGGGGTGTCTGCATTGTCAGCACATTCCCCACAGGAAACTCACTGGTGAAGCAGCACCAGCAGAATTAACCCCTGCCCTCTCCCATCTGACTGAGAGGTGGTTTTGGGGAAATGGCCTTGCGGATCCCCTAGCAGCCCAAGTTTGGCCCCTGGAGTAGGGAGAAAGAAGACAGCCAGTAAAGGCAGGCGCATATTTTCAGCCAATGGTTTCCTCCTTTCCACAGTTCATCACTATCAGTTCAAGTTCCGTTTCATCAACGAATTCAAAGAGAGGCAAATAGATCCAACATTCACAATCTCACTGACAGGCAGCAAAGACAACGTTGAAAACCTCTCCATCACTTTGTGAGTACCGGATAATATTGTTGCTGTTGTTCTTATTATTTTTTATTAAATTTCAATACCGCCTGCATCCAAGGATCACAGGACAGTTTGCAATATAAAAATGCAAAAATATATAACATTGTAACAAACAATAACAACCAACCCTACAGTTTAAAAGGCCATAGATTGTTTAATTAGCCAAATTAAATGCTGAATTATAAGCCAAATTAACACCGAGTGTGCTCCTTTACTGTGCTGAGTATAGAATCTATCTTTGAAACCAATGTCTGTGTATCAGCTCAGAGAGGAGTGTGGGCGGTAACAAATATTTTTGTGTAGAATAGGGGTGGGGAGCCTTCAGCCCACAGGCCACCTCTGGCCAGCCAAGGATTCAAATTTGGCCCACAAGGACATTAATCCTAAACCAAACCCATCTCACACCTGACATCATGTGTGGGGCAGGTAGAGACACTGCTGACACTACAGTTGGGAGCTTTAAAAGTGCACTGGAAAAGGAAACCAAGAAAAGCAGGCAGCTCCAGTTTGCCCGCCTGTCAGCTGATGCTTTTTGCCAGCACTCGCTTCCTGCTGGATTGCTGCACGTCTCACCTCCCCCACATTAAGCACCTTATCTAGGCTGGTACCCACCCACCCCACTTCCTTGCTTATCTGTCTGGCTGCTGACAACAGCCTTACATTTTTATGTATATAGGAAGATAATATGGATCAACAGAGCTACGTGCATTTTTGGTCTCTCATTGGGAGCACAGCTTTAAGGGTAATCACAATGAGCTCCTGGACATCCAAACTGACCACCGTGTTCGCTATCCTTTGTAACACATATTCCTCACATGGTCTCCATTTTGGGGGAGGGGTTGGCTGGATAGTTAATGACTTACTGGTGCTATTTTGTATTGACTCTGTAAATTGATTTTGTTTATATTATGTTATGTATTGAACTGGTGTATCAGTGAAGTTCATTTGATATATAGCAAGCATAATTTGGTGGGAAAGAGACCCAAGGATAAACGAATGTGTGAAAGGTGCATTGGTGTCACACATGCGTTTTGGGTGAATTACTCAGAGTGACTTGTCCATTGCTTTCAAGGGGTCTGTGCCTTGTATGATGCTTGTTGCTTTCTCCCTCTCCAACTCTCCCTTAAGAGTCGAAGGCATTACAGGAATAAAACATACACTTTTCTTGTGCCTCTGGAAATTGATATTGGTGAGCTGATGATGATCAAGTTGAAGTGGGAAGGGATTGCAATTTGGGAAAACATCTGGAACACTGTTCAAACAATCATCCCATGGGGAAAGGGCGACCGCCGACTGGGACTCATCATGGAGACGATACGAGTCAAGGCAGGCGAAACTCAACAGAAGTAAGTGTCATGGGACCAAGAGGGATGACTGCTTACAGCCCTGTTGGGGTTTGGGCCATTTCAGCCAAGCTGGTGCCCTCTAGATGACTCCAATCAACATCTTTGCTGGTTGGGGCTGATGAGAGCTAGGGGCACCAGGAAGGCAAAGGCTGCATTAGAGGATGACCACAGCCAATTCCAGTACTGCTTGCGTTCTGCTGCTGATGTCTGGAGCAGGGCTAGGGCACTTGTGGGGCTCCAGTCATTGCTGGACAACATATCCCATCACCTTTAAACACTGGGCATGCTAGTTGGAGAACTTCATGTCTCTCACCCTTGCTCCAAGGGACAAGCTGCCCTTCCTCTTTGGCCCAACAGCAATGTCTACATTTGCACTAGGATGGATTTTGCCCCACCACCACAAAAAACAAACACAGAGAGATTATTAAGACCATGAATCCTGCATTACATCATAGAACACGTGTGTTGCAATTTGACAACAATATAGAGACAGTCCCACAGGAAAGAGGGGACCCCCATAGTTAAGTGGCTGTGTTTTTCGGGCAGGAAGGTCAGAGTTGGAAAGCATTTCCAATTCTAAAAAGGAGCAGATCGCAGGGGAAAGAAGTCTTTTTTCATCTGAGGCCTTGGAAAGTTGCTACCAGAGTAGACAGACAATCATAGGACACAGGAAACTGCCTCATACAGTGCCTCCAGCCACTGTCCCCTCTTCCTCAGCACTGCCTACTCCCTGGCTATGGCTGCCTAGGGTCTGTCCATCTAGCAAAGCAGAGCAAGATCCCAGGACCTTCTACATGCAAAGCATATGTTCTATCACAGAGCTATGGCAGAAGTGACCGATAACATGACCTGGTTTAAGACATCTTCTCTATGTGGACTTCCTTGCCAAAGGAAGTCCACCTGATCATCAGCCTTGCAGTGCTGCACCAGGCAATGAAACTGCTGTTATGATGATTGGCTTTCCTTGCTAATCGTCCATGTGCCCTGCTGTGTAATGATGAACTGACGGCTGTCATTGGTCTTTGAGCTTCCAGTCTAGTATTTTATGATGCCATTTTTAGAGTGCACTTTTTAAACACTACACGTCCTCTTGGAGATATGACTATTACAATTAAATAAACAAGTAATATTTTGTTTCTCCCTCTTCTCTCCCCCCCCCCCCAATCTTCTGCATAGAATGACATTCTGCTCTCAAAGCCTTGACGATTTACACCTCTATCCAGGCCAGGAGAAAATGTTTGTAAGATGTGAAGTAAGCTCCCAGCGGCTCAGGTGAAGATACAAATAAGCAAGATCCCGGAAAAACTGGCACTGCTCTTCAATCACTTTCAAGCTGTACCTTTTCTTTGGGTTTTTATTTCTTAACATTTATAATTTTTATGTATATATCATGGCTGGGCAGGGTGGGGTGGGGTCATAGAAAACCCTGCTGGATCCCAAAGTTAAATTGTTTACATTTATCCCGAATGTTGACTAAAGTGTGAAAGCAACTAAATCAGCTGTTAAGTAGGCCAGAATATGCATATTTTATAGATGGTTAGACAGCATGGATTTTTCATTATCAACTCACTCAATAAAGGGACATACCATTTTACACAAAAAGTTTTCTGGTCCAATCTGGTTAGGAAATTTAAACAGCACGTCGAGATCTCAAAATGAGCAAGAATCGCTTGAGGTTTATAGACTCATTAAAATTAAACCTTAATGTGCGTCCCTATTTTTAAAAGTCTGGGCATTTTTATGTTTTGAGTCAACAGCTTAGGCTGTGGACTTAGTTCAACATTTGCCAGCCCTCCTGTGCTGGCTGGGGCTGATGGGATTTGGAATTCAAAACATCTGGAGGGGACCAGGTTGGTGAAAGCTGACTTAGTTCATAAAGCTACACCTGAAGATGACCATGTCATGACAGCATACAGTCCAGGGGGACATTTGTGTCCTGTGCAAACTTCATTGAAATGCTGGGGCACTATAGAAAAGCATTGCAGTGGTACCTCGTGTTACATACCGTCCCCCTTACAAATGCTTCAGGTTACGCGCTCCGCTAACCTGGAAGTAGATGTCCCTTGTTGCAAACTTTGCCCCGGGATGCAAGCAGAAGTTGCGCTCCAGCAGCGCGGCAGGCACCGTTAGCGAAAGCACGCCTCATGTTACAAGCAGTTTCTGGTTATGAACGGACCTCTGGAACGGATTAAGTTCATAACCGGAGGTACCGCTGTACTGTAGAGAAGACTTGCATAGCTGGTGATTTTGAAAGTACACTTGTATAACCCCTCCTGCACTCATATAACACCCCTTCAACAATTATTATTATTTATTGAATTTATATACCGCCCTATAACCGTAGGTCTCAATGAAATGGTAGAAGGCACCTTCGGAATTTGGACTCCCTTTGCTATATCTAGGAGGGCTGGTCCAAGACTGTTCAGTGCTTCTAGCGAAGGGCATTATCTGACTGGATTGGTAGCTGAATCTTCTACCAACACTGGCCATAGGAGAGCATCTTCCACTCCACCCAAGGGCAGCAAGCAGGCCACATGCCATGCACACACACCCCTTTCTCTCCATCTTGCTGCTGCCTCATGCCAAATGGGTCAAACCCAGCTAGACAGCTCTGCAGGGAAAATACTGCCCATTTGCTTCAAGAGGGAAAGCCAGTCCTGTTAGCCATACAAGCATTAGTAAAATTAAGGCTTATGGCTCAAGCTTAACACTGGTGTGAAAATGAAGTCTTGATTTTGTGCCCATAATGTGTTTTGGGATTATAGCCTATAATTCTAACACACTTTATGAGCACAAGATCAAGGTTAAATTTCATACCAGCTAAATTAAAAGCAAGCATTCATTGGAATCACACGTTTGGGTGCATGTTTAGTATGGCATGAACATATATTCCCACTTTGACCAGCATCTGCAGTAGAACAAACCACCTTCTCAACCCCATCAACATTAAGAGCTAAGGGCAGTCTTCTGCAAGGCTATGGAAGCTTCAGCTAAAGTGATAATTGCAACCACCCCATGAGCATGTGGCTAGTATAAAGGCCAGCCCAAGACGTTTTGTTCTCTGAGGCAACAGAGATAGCAGCCTCCCCATTCCACGTACAAAAGCCAAACACCATTGATGGGACAGAACCCTCCACTGCATCTGACAGCAACAGGCTTGCTTAGGTGGCGCTGGGCAGGGCATGACACTTGCAGCTTTGACTGCTCTCCTCCCTGCAGTATCTGTGTTATAGCAGGGCCAGCCCTGGCTAGCATGGTTATCTGAAGCCATTTTCAAATTTGTTAGGGTCCCCAAATGAAACACTGGTCTGAACACATTGGCTATACTTGTTGAAACCTTGCTTTTAAACTATGTGAACCAGAAAATCAAGTTCTGCAAACTGTGGGTTTGATCCTGACTTAGCCATACTTCCTGAAATTAACGGGGTAGGTTAGCCACAGCTACTGTATGCCTGGGTCCAGCATGCCTAGGTCCAGCGCTAGAATCCTAAACATATACATGCTCTGCAGACTTTCAGGTAAATGTGTGTTTAAGACTTTTGTTTAAGGATTTTCACAACAACTTGGAAAAGGCGCTACAGCTGAGCAGTATGTTTCTGTGTAGGTATCCAGGACTCATCACCTTTTAACCGGAGATACTAAAGATTGAGGGACGCGGGTGGCACTGTGGGTAAAAGCCTCAGCGCCTAGGGCTTGCCGATCGAAAGGTCGGCGGTTCGAATCCCCGTGGCGGGGTGCGCTCCCGTTGCTCGGTCCCAGCGCCTGCCAACCTAGCAGTTCGAAAGCACCCCCGGGTGCAAGTAAATAGGGACCGCTTACTGGTGGGAAGGTAAACGGCGTTTCCGTGTGCTGCGCTGGCTCGCCAGATGCAGCTTTGTCACGCTAGCCACGTGACCTGGAAGTGTCTCCGGACAGCGCTGGCCCTCTGCCTCTTGAGTGAGATGGGCGCACAACCCTAGAGTCTGTCAAGACTGGCCCGTACGGGCAGGGGTACCTTTACCTTTACTAAAGATTGAACCAGGGACGGAAGGCAAAGCAGTTGCCCTACACCAAGTTATGACGCTTAGTGCAGGTGACTGAAGCAGCAGGGATGGGCTGTCATTCTTTTGCCACTAGGGGCTCATCCACACTTGTCCCATGCCTATAGAGCATGGGTTCGAGCGGTTTTCCCCTCACCCCACTCCTTTCTCAGAGAAAATCTGTTCCTTCGCTCTAAATTAGACCAAACGTCAATCTGGAAAAAACCTGAATTGCTGTTTGCTCTGATTGAATGCTGTTTGCTCTGATTGGGTCTACTTTGACCAGAACTTCCTGGGATACAGTCCTTTGTTTCCCACATAATAGGGAGTGTTTTCCACAAAAGAAGTCCACCAGAAAGACAGTGCTTGGAGATGAGGGAAAACATGCTAGCATGCCTATTACTCAGCCACCTTAAACAGAAACGTGCACAGTAAACTTAGTTGCATCCAAAGTGCTACTTTAAAGGGACGCAGGTGGTGCTGTGGCCTAGGGCTTGCCGATCAGAAGGTTGGCAGTTCGAAACCCCACGATGAGGTGAGCTCGCGTTGCTCGGTCCCAGCTCCTGCCAATCTAACAGTTCGAAAACATGCCAAAAAGTGCAAGTAGATAAATAGGTACTGCTCCGGTGGGAAGGTGAATGGCGTTTCCATGTGCTGCTCTGGTTTTGGTGTTCCGTTGTGCCAGAAGCAGCTTAGTCATGCTGGACACATGACCTGGAAAAACTGTCTGTGGACCAACGCCGGCTCCCTCGGCCTGTAAAGTGAGATGAGCGCCACAACCCCAGAGTCGTCTGCGACTGGAATTAACTGTCAGGGGTCCTTTACCTTTTTAAAGTGCTACTTTAGGTGCTCCGAGTAGTATTTTTGACTGTTTCTCTTGGCCTTTGAGATTGTTACCCTCTGTGTCATATCTGAAAGTACAAATCCAATTCTGTTTGCCATATAAAATGAAGGGGTCAATATTTAAGACTGAGGTCAAAGCCTCACATCACTCAAGTGCCCAGAACTAATTGCTCTGATCAGTTTACTTGTGCAGTCCACCCACCAATGCATAGTGTTGCACTAATAAAAAATAAAAGCAGACTGGCAAAAAAGTGGAACTAGTGGTACATGGATTTTGGTAAACAGATTGGAATGTAACTCTCCTTCAGATTTTGCAGTTCTGAACTTTGTGATATAGTTCTCTGCTTAAAAGTGTTCCAAAACATGTTAACAAATGCTTATTTAAGATACATTTGGAAAAAGCACTGAAATAAAGCATTTAGATACACATTTTAAAACAAAATTTGCTTGTGGGCTTTAGAAAATTCACAGAATGATGCAGAAATGAGACAGAATGTACTTAAAAACGTATGTAGAATTGACATTGATCAGAAATAGGCCAATCCATCCCTTTAAACACACACACACACACACACATGCACACGAGCCTCTAACCCATAAACACGTTTCAATAAAGCACAAATATTTTGACAATCACACCACAGCACTGTACTAAGATAAAGTTTTACAGGCCTGGATGAAGCATTTGCAGATACAGCAGCAGTATGATTTGGGGCATGTTTAACTGAGACCCCCCCCCTTTTTGAGCCACACCAATAAAATGAGATCTACTAAGAAGCACAGGACATGGGTGGCGCTGTGGGTAAAACCACAGTGCCTAGGACTTGCCGATCGTATGGTCGGCGGTTCGAATCCCCGCGGCAGGGTGAGCTCCCGTCTTTCGGTCCCAGCTCCTGCCCACCTAGCAGTTCGAAAGCACCCTTAAGTGCAAGTAGATAAATAGGTACCGCTTTATAGCGGGAAGGTAAACGGCATTCCATGTGCTGCTCTGGTGCAGGGATCGCCAGAGCAGTGATGTCACACTGGCCACGTGACCCGGAAGTGTCTGCGGACAGCGCTGGCCCCCGGCCTCTTAAGTGAGATGGGCGCACAACCCGAGTCTGCCACGACTGGCCCGTACAGGCAGGGTACCTTTACCTTTACTAAGAAGCACAGCCTGATTCTGGCAGTGAAATGTAGGAAGGCACATCAGAATTGACTGCCCTTCAATTCTGAGAAAGAGCTCAACTTCCAGGGTGATTTCATCAGGTCTATTTATTAATGCATTTCAAGTTTTAAAAAAAACCTTACATTTGTTTGCACAATACTTTATTTTATTTTTGCAACTTTTTAGTAAAAATTTCCAAAGTGAACCAAAAAAAAAAAAAAAAGGATACTGTATAAAACACAGTGGACATTAAACTGACAGTAGTATTAGATTGCAATTTGCCTTGATAATCTTGTTTTAATTTACCACATCTTAACTTGTAGTGGAGAGTTCAGTGCACTTTTCTCTTTGCAGAAAACATGAAACTTAGACCCAAAATAAAACAAGGTAGCCAGCTCTCTGCCAGGCACCCTAGCCACAGGAGAACATTACAAGCAAGGAATTTACATGTTCCAAGATCTACCACACTCAAGAAGTTACTATGAACTCTTGCAGAACAAAAGTCACCATTTTAGAAATGCAAACCTAGCTTCCAGCCTTTGCACAGTCTGAAGAACAGAACAAGAACAGAACCACCCCAAAATGTATTTTAA